ACTGTATAATCATTATTGGTAATGGAGTATTTGGTTAATAATTATTCCGCGAATGGCCGAGAAAAATGAACCTGAATTCTATTTGAATGGCGCCGTGAAAAGTTAAATTATTGTTGATATTATTATTATTATTACTATTATTATTTGGAGAATAATTTGTCCGCAAATGGCCGAGAAAATTAACCTGGATTCTATTTGCTTGGCGCCGTGAAAAAATGTATTATTATTATTATTATTATTACTATTATTATTGTTATTATTATTATTATTTGGAAAATAATTTATTCGCGTATGGCCGAGAAAATGAACCTGGATTCTATTTGAATGGCGCCGTGAAAAATTATTTTAACATTATTATTATTATTATTATTTGGAAAATAATTTGTCCGCAAATGGCCGAGAAAATGAACCTGAATTCTATTTGCTTGGCGCCGTGAAATATTGTATTATTATTATTTTTTATTATTATTTGAAAAATATTCTTTCCGCAAATGGCCGAGAAAATGACCCTAGATTCTATTTGAATGGCGCCGTGAAAATTTATATTATTTTATTATTATTATTTGGAAAATAATTTGTCCGCAAATGGCCGAGAAAAATTTTATTATTATTATTATTATTATTATTATTATTTATTTTTGAAAATGATTTTTCCGTGAACGGCTGAGAAAATGAACCTGGATTCTATTTGAATGTCGCCATGAAAAATACTTTCAAATAAAAATGTGGATTGAATTTCACCCAAGTAAAACACAATTTTGGCAAACATTTTGGAAAAACATGATGAACTTGTGAGGAAGAATACAAAGGTAATGTTATCCTTATTTCTCTAAAGGCTGAAAAAAAATTCCAAGTTTGTGTATCTTCTTTAATGAGAGCTGTGAAAAGAAGAAGAAAATGAAGCATTTGTTTTTCTCACCGTCATTTTCTCTCTGGACTCCTTCGTAATTATGGCGGATGTCTACAACCCCTGGTGTATTTTTCTTCTTGGCTTGTTGCCATAAGAGCAGAGAAGGGAATCCGGATATTTTCAAGGTTGCTACGCCATGTGAAGGAGAACAATTGGTATATTACTGTGATCTTGAATAATTCTGTTTTTTTATTTAATTTTTTATTATACTTCGACCAGAATATATGAAGAAGCTTTCCTACGCAAAACTATTGAATTTCATTCGACCTTCGTGTGGCGAGAAACTCGGGTTTTATGATTATCACCGCTTATATATTTTTTTCGATTGTTTCCCCGATTATCGAGAAAATTTGTGATTTAATTTTAAAAACAGCGGAATTTTTATTCCGATTATGCAAATTCTGATCGGCAATGTCAGTTGAATTCAGACTCTTTTCACAATTATTCAAAGCATTTTTAAAAACATTTTGTGAGTGGTAATCGGAGGCCAAATGCCATTGCGAACTTTTGCCAAAGGTCAGCTGTGAATAATATTAAACAAATGCGAATTGCTGAACAAAGTAACGAAGAAAAAAACACCGTGAGAATAATCACCGAAGGCCAAACGTGCTATGCTATTAAATTCAGAATAATGGTGGAAATGAAACTCGGAATAAAATGCATAAAATTATGAAACGGCTGAAATGGTTTTGAATTATTTTTCCCGACGAAGGCGTGAAGATAATGTGCTGCATAAAAATCACTGAAAATCGTTTCACGGCCAGAACCTTTGCATAAATAGTTTTTCCAAACGAAAACTACTGTAGAACTCTTTGAATGGTCGAATCCAAGTATAATTTTTAATATTCACCCTTTCATGCAAATTACCACTTCGATAAACCCGATGGCATTTTTAGCGAATCGTTCTTCACGGAATGCATTTTTAAAGCTAAAAATTTCCGGTGATGTTGGTGTCGTCATTTGGGTTCATTTGGTGAAGATTTTTTTTTTGCAGCGGTCTGCATTCTACGTCAATGAAGTAAATGAGCGCCATTTCCGAGAAAGCCTGGGATCCCAAGTGTCGCCATCATCGAAATTCGATAAAATGTCGGTTTTACTCCCCAAGGGGAAATGAATTATTCGGGACGAAAAGGGTGGGAGCGGGACCCGTTAGGTGCCCTTAACGGAAAAAGGGAAGGAAAAATCGTGGGTTGGTCGTTTGTGAGTCAGCCCAATTGAGCGCCAACCATCTGAGCGTCTTTTGATAATATGGTAAAATGGAAAAAAAAAAACATTCCTGTAAGTATCAAAATAGCAAGTTTATCCTGCTTTGAGATAGATCTCAAAGAAAAAAATTCCAAAACAGCATAAAAGCAAATTCTAAAAGACCAAATTTGAATGGGTAAAAATCTCAATAGATCTTTCTAAAAAATAAAATAAAGTTTTAGTGGTGCGAATCTTGAAAGAATAAATCTCAAAAGTGTTGGTCTTTACTAATGAAATTGCATGTCATGGTAAAATCTAAAAATAAGTACTGTACTGTGAATTTCAAAAGAGCAAATTTCAGTTCTCATTTAGAACTTTCTCGTCTCGACTTCTTCATAACTAGGACTTTCTTTTATAAACGTCACGATTAGAGTTTTATCATGACATTTAAACTTCTCCCGTAATGAACCTTCTCATGTCATCTAGACGAAAGAGCAAATGTCAAAAGAGCAAAATTGAAAAGAGCATAAACTTCCAAAGGAGTCACATTTAAAAGAGCAAATTTTAAAAGAGCAAAAATGGAAAAGAGCATCAAAAAAGAAAATCTCCAAAGACATTTAACCCAAAAATTAGGTCTCAGTTGTTAAAATCTCAAATAAGCAAATTCTAAAAGAGTAACTTTCAGAAGAGCATGATGACAAAAGAGTAATTGCATGAAAAAATTAAATTTGAATAGATAAGCTTCAGCTTTCCAATTTTTCATAATCACTAAGCTTCTTATCCATACCTAATAATGTTTAGGTTACAAACACACTCTAGCATTGAACTGTTCAATCAAGAAATAAAATTTTGCTTGTTAAGATCATATTTCAAGTGCAATACATTTAGTAACTTTGTTTAATTTTTTTTTCAATTTAGAAGAAAGATGAAATGAATCAATGCAAAACGCGAGAGTGTTACCAAACCCAATGAACCAGTTGGACATTCTTTCTACAGAGTTTCTCAGATTTAATCACTTTTGAAATAAGCATGATGGAGAATTATAAATCATGAATCCTGACTCTGATCATGGGTTCAATTTTTCCTTTCTTTTGAAATCATTCAATTTTTCGTTACTATTTTTTGAATCTTTATTTTCTTTCATACACTGTTCATTTCTATCTAGCTCTGAATTAGTCTTGGCGTTCATTTCACTCCACCCTGGTTCTTTCAGGGCAGAAAAAAAACCCCTCCCCTCAGTCAAGTCCCCAAAAGGCCATTTCCCCCCGTGGAATGAACCCGGCTTTTTGAGGGCTTCTTTAATTATGAATCCGTTGCTCTGCCTTCTTTGTAGTCTTAATGTCAGCAGCGCCCTTATGCGTGTTCATGGTCCATTTTTATTTCATCTATCGTAAAATATACATTTTATATGTCCCGAAAAAAGAAAAGAGTGGCTTTGTAGACGTGGTTTGATCGAATCGAGGAGCTCCGTTTCTTGCATCTAATCTTGTCTGGACATATACCCTCTTTCTTATCTTTTCGCTTCTGATGCGAAAAATGCGGAATCCGGGAACATTGACTTCACAGAAGGGCCTTGGTTTTTTTTGGGCCATTTTTAAAATCTGATTTTATATTTTTCATTGAAATAAAACCAGGGAAAACGTTTCCTCTTGAGTTCAACGGACTACTGGAACCATCAGAGAATTCGAGGTAGATTTTTAAAACGTTTTTCTTCGTAGAGGGGTATAACCTCGGATAACGGACGGACAGTGTGGGCTGATTCGGTCTCGGAGAGCAGCTCACATTTTTAAATATTTCCCCGCTTAAATATACTTGAGTGGAAGGGTCGAATTTCTTTTACCGGACGCCATTATTATATTTACTCTGCAGGTATTATATTTTAAAAGGATTAACCTGGGGTTTTTGGAATTTTATTCGTTTTTTAGCTGCATGAGATTAAAAACAAATATGTTTGCCTTCTTTGTATTTTCTTCCGACTCAACATACTGTATGAAGAAACTTATTCCTACACAAACAAGGACTCAATTTGATGAAGGGAAATTTCATAGGATTCAGGCGACACCTATGTGATGAAGACAGGCATTTGATTAGAGGTGGACACACTCGTGTTCACCTATTTAGGGAAACACACGAGTCCCTGAAATCCTTTTACTTTAACTCGGAGTTTAAAAACAACCCAAACAAACGTCTGTAATATGTATAGGACATTAAAGAAACGAACGAAAAAAACTAACCCTGGGATTTCTCTTTTGGAAGTGATTGTTGAATCATCAGCTATTTTTAGTCAGTATCTCAAAAGTCTGAGTATGTTTGAAAAAACATTCGCTCTAATTTCAGTCAAGAACAGAGGCGACACCTATGTGATGACTTGAGAATATGAGGGCATTGAAGACAGGGGACATCCCAGCAATCAAAGTGTTTTTTTTCTGTGTTGTGGAACATGATGGAGTTGCGACCCAATTTTTGCTTCTTTGTAAAGGGTGGTTTGGTTGCCCAAAAAATGCGATAATTGCAAATTAGCCAGACTGATGATCGGTTATAATTTAGAGTGTTATTTGGATAAACGTTTCGTGTTGGGGCGAATGTTTAAACTGATTGCGACATTCCATCAGCCGAAATGCGACGTAGTCAAGGAAGAATTTTGTTTTGTTTTTTAAAATTGTCAGTTCTCTGAAATTATAACTTTTCTGAAACAGAGGCAGAACTTATTCTTTTTTTGCAATCTTGACACGTTTTGTCGATTTCCCCAGACGCAGTATTCTGTCAACTCTGAGCTCCTGAAATTTCTTTTTTTTTGTTTTGAAAATAAATGGGGATTCCTAAATAATGTCGAAGACCGCGCGTATTTCTTTCTTGTCTGTGTCGCAGAACCTAGATTAAAGTCTCCCGGATTTTTCCAACCCACGTTCGTGACGTGACGTGAAAGCAATGTTTCTTTCATGTGTCGTTCTTTCGCCTGTAGCCCAATGACGACGTTACACTGACGGGAAGAAAGGGGTTGCTCAAAAGTTCTGCTTGTCGGTGAAGACATTTTTCGTTGCTGTTGAACGAATCCCGATGTACGAGCGTTCTAACAAAAGTTCTCGGAGTAGCAATGAAAATGGCTCACAGTTGAGCTGAAAAAAAATTTTTTCTTCAGGGAAAACATATTCCTTGGCACACAAAAAATATCAGCCCTGTTTGACAACTTTTTTTTTTGAATTTTTTAAATTATTCACCCTGGCAGAGTTTTGCTCTACACTCGAAAGATGAGGCGCCCTTTTTTTTTGTTGTAGCCCAGCTTTCCCCTCAGAATTTTTGAAATCAACTTGGCATTCTTTCTAAGGGTTGCCTCCAGGTCATCTGAGGTAATTCCGCCATTTTCATCAACAGCCTCCTTCATAGCCGCCACTTTGGCTGCTGTGAAGGCGGCAAAATGGGATCGATATATTTTTCTATTACGAACCAAATTATAAGTTTCAGAGAGAAAAAAAACGGGTAAATTACGTTTTATGCATCTGCGGCGAAAATAAAAAAAAAACTTTCGGAGAACCCCTTGGGGAAGCAAGAAAGAAAACACGTCAGAGGAAAATGTCTGTAATGGGTGTTGAAAGCTGGTTGGATTCGTGTTATTGTGACCTTGCTAGAGAGAGCGAGAGAGGCTTGGTCGATGCTTTTGCAGCGTCGACCCGAGTCCCTTGATGGAGACTGAATACAACGAATGGAACGTGTTTTTTTTTTTTCTTTNCGACTCAACATACTGTATGAAGAAACTTATTCCTACACAAACAAGGACTCAATTTGATGAAGGGAAATTTCATAGGATTCAGGCGACACCTATGTGATGAAGACAGGCATTTGATTAGAGGTGGACACAGAGCACAAGTGGATAAATCCCTTTGTGTGCTCAGGGACTTTAGGAAAATGAAATTGAGCCTCAAATTTTTGTTGGGTTTGTTTGCAGACATTATACATATCCTGTAATTTCTTTGCTTGCTTTTTTTTCTAACCCTGGGATTTCTCTTTTGGAAGTGATTGTTGAATCATCAGCTATTTTTAGTCAGTATCTCAAAAGTCTGAGTATGTTTGAAAAAACATTCGCTATAATTTCAGTCAAGAACAGAGGCGACACCTATGTGATGACTTAAGAAGATGAGGGCATTGAAGACAGGGGACATCCCAGCAATCTAAGTGTTTTTTTTTCTGTGTTGTTGAACATGATGGAGGTGCGACCCAATTTTTGCTTCTTTGTAAATGGTGGTTTGGTTGCCCAAAAAATGCGATAATTGCGAAGTAGCCAGACTGACGATCGGTTATAATGTAGAGTGTTATTTGGATAAACGTTTCGTGTTGGGGCAAATTTTTAAACTGATGGGGACATTTCATCAGCCGAAAAGGCGACGTAGTCAAAGGAAGAATACTTTTTGGTTTTTTAAAATTGTCAGTTCTCTGAAATTAAAACTTTTCTGAAACAGAGGCAGAAATTATTCTTTTTTTGCAATCTTGACACGTTTTGTCGATTTCCCCAGACGCAGTATTCTGTCAACTCTGAGCTCCTGAAATTTCTTTTTTTTGTTTTGAAAATAAATGGGGAATCCTAAATAATGTCGAAGACCGCGCGTATTTCTTTCTTGTCTGTGTCGCAGAACCTAGATTAAAGTCTCCCGGATTTTTCCAACCCACGTTCGTGACGTGACGTGAAAGCAATGTTTCTTTCATGTGTCGTTCTTTCGTGTGCTGCCCAATGACGACGTTACACTGACGGGAAGAAAGGGGTTGCTCAAAAGTTCTGCTTGTCGGTGAATACATTTTTCGTTGCTGTTGAACGAATCCCGATGTACGAGGGTTCTAACAAAAGTTCTCGGAGTAGCAATGAAAATGGCTCACAGTTGAGCTGAAAAAAAATATTTTCTTCAGGGAAAACATATTCCTTGGCACACAAGAAATATCAGCCCTGTTTGACAATTTTTTTTTAAAATTTTTTAAATTATTCACCCTGGCAGAGTTTTGCACTACACTCGAAAGATGAGGCGCCTTTTTTTTTTTTTGTAGCCCAGCTTTCCCCTCAGAATTTTTGAAATCAACTTGGCATTTTTTCTAAGGGTTGCCTCCAGGTCATCCAAGGTAATTCCGCCATTTTCATCAACAGCCTCCTTCATAGCCGCCACTTTGGCTGCTGTGAAGGCGGCAAAATGGGATCGATATTTTTTTTCTATTACGAACCAAATTATAAGTTTCAGAGAGAAAAAAACGGGTAAATTACGTTTTATGCATCTGCGGCGAAAATAAAAAAAAAAACTTTCGGAGAACCCCTTGGGGAAGCAAGAAAGAAAACACGTCAGAGGAAAATGTCTGTAATGGGTGTTGAAAGCAAAAAAAACGGGTAAATTACGTTTTATGCATCTGCGGCGAAAATAAAAAAAAAACTTTCGGAGAACCCCTTGGGGAAGCAAGAAAGAAAACACGTCAGAGGAAAATGTCTGTAATGGGTGTTGAAAGCTGGTTGGATTCGTGTTATTGTGACCTTGCTAGAGAGAGCGAGAGAGGCTTGGTCGATGCTTTTGCAGCGTCGACCCGAGTCCCTTGATGGAGACTGAATACAACGAATGGAACGTGTTTTTTTTTTCTTTTTCATTCGTTTCGCTTCAACTGTTTTCTCATTTGTATTCGTATTGGTTTTCTTTTGTTTTCAAAATTTTTCCCTGGTCATGTCGGCCTTTGTTCCTTCGAACCAGCGGCGAGCGAGTTTGTTGCGAATTTCACCCACGCAATCGTTTTTCTTTTTATTTTCGCTCGATGGAACAGCGTGAGTAATGAACTTGATTCCTTTAAGAGAGGAGAGGTTTTTTGTTTTTGTTTGCAGCTGGTTTTTGTGCGAAAAAGAAAGGGATTCTTGAGAAATTACTGTGAAGACTTTCGAGCTGAGAGGTACCCGAGTCTTTAAATCAGAGTCCTTTTTTTTCGACAGCTACGAGATGAATGGCTTGATGGAAGAAGCCTTGATCTGCTGAAGATGTACTGTATTTTTTGTAAATTGCAACCCTGCCAATTAATCTGATTTATTTAGTGAAACCTTCACGTGGAGCTTTGCTGGAGGAAAGAATATTGGCAAGATCGTGCATTTTATTTTTCATTGGCTATTTAGAAGGTCTGCTGAGATTCTTTTTTAAAGATTTGATTTCTTGAGATTTAATCTTTTAAGGTGTGCTGTAATATTTTGATATTTGATCTTTTGGCATGCATATAATCTCAACTGCATTGAGATTTACCGTATTACTGTATTTTAAAATATGACTTTATTCAGATTTACTCTTTTGCGATATCCTCATGATTTTCGCTCTTCAAGATTTTCTAATTTAAGATTTACTCCTTCTTGGGTCGATCTTTTGGAATGTGACCCTCATTGAAGGGAATCCTTTCTCAATTTTCGCAGTAAAAAATTTCTACTAGATCCGGGTTCATTTTTCTTGAAAGGGGGGGGGGGGGTGGGGGTGTATGGAAAATGGAGACTGTAATTTCCGCCCCCTCCAAATGCGGAATCGATGCGAATAGGAGGAGGTGGTCTTTTCCTGTCTTCCCTATTTCTTTTTTCGGCACGGTTTCTTTCCTGCAAAGTTTTTTTTTTTTTTGTGACGAATATAATACATGAGACGAATGAAGAGCCCCCTGTACAGTATGTTGTTCATTCTTTTCATTCCGGTTTTTTCTTTCTTTTTTTGCTAAGATTTGGAGAAATAGGGTTGCTTAGTTTGACACTGAAAGTGAATTTTAGGGAAATAGCCATAGTTCCTAAATCGTATTTTTTTTTCTGTGCCACCCAGTTCAGTGCGTGCAATTTTTTGACGACAGAAACGGTTCTGAGACGTGCAATTTCACAAAGCGTTCCTTTGGGAGAACGAAAAGTCGGAAAAATAAAATGAAAATAAACAGCTGGCAGTGTTCAAATTCTTTTCTGTCGTATTAAATACCCCCGAAGAAATCCCCGGGATTAAATTTCAAAACCACTCCTGCTTGTCTCCCTGATTGGGGACTCGTTTATCACCGGAAGTTATTCCTTGGGGAATTTCTCCCCGAGGAGAGAGAGGATACCTTTTTTTTTTATTATTTTGGGGTGAGGTGAACTGGAATCCGTGACACGATAGCCTTCTTGTGGGCTGTTGCATAACGAACACGCTTATCTAATGAAAGAAGCTTTTTTCTTGGTCGAAGGCTGGAGAGCTCATTAAGGAACGAGATCGATCTCTTTTTTTTTTTTCTAGTATGTGTTGAGAGTTTTTTTTTTGTGGTACGGGGTCAAGTTCCCATTGAGGACAACTGAGCGTTGAACATCTCATCGTCAATCAATTTTCCCAATGCTGTTGGATCTCTTTCAGTTGAACTACAAGGGACCAGTGAAAAAAATGAAGAGTTACTGAGGATCCAGAATTTAAAGAGGAAAATCTTCAAACTCTAGAAATGCATTCCACAGCTACAGAAATGAGCTTTAAAACGATTTGGGACTCTTTTAAAATTCAATGAAAATACTCTTACCAAAATCTTAGAGGCCCAAGATACAGTAATCTGTTAACCTTGTATGATTTCTCATAGAAAATTCTCTCCAAATTTTTTAAGTAACTAAACCTCATGTGGGAGCAGGTTGAATGCCTTGTGCTTTAATTTGGGTTTTGTAAGTGCTTTTAAAGCTGCAATTCTTATTATATATATTATGTTTTTGTTTTTGTGAACAGGGAAGGGAAGACATTTTATGTATTTATATCAGTTGTTCAGTTGAACTTTTTGGGACGTATTTTCTTAGCTTTTTATATTCATATGCTGTGTCTGCTTCTCTGTGATACATTCTGATGTGAAGAATGTGTTTGGATGAATGTAAGAAAGAAGCTAAAAAAGTGGAAATAAATAAAGCCTGCAGTTGAATTCAATTCAATAGGAATAGAACAAATGTTTTTTGTTGGGCTGCAACTGGGGTGAATTTCACCCTATTTTAAAGTTTGTCTAATATTGGAAAAGGCTGTTGAATGAAAAACACAATCCTTCAAATTACTCCCAAGAAAA